CACCAAACCTAAACTAGGTCGTAGAGACTCTGGCTCTTGAAATAGATTGTAGCATGTATTTTCTTTCTCATTACTCTTGGCAAAATAATGTTGATCAATTTTTGTTTTCTTTTCAGGAACTCCATTAAGTTTCCAACAGTTTCACCATGTTATCACAACAATGAACACACATATTATAAAATTCAACCTGCACGAGAAAACCCATATAGTAGAATTGACAAAAAAAGAACAGAAAGCAGAAAAGAATTAACTTCCTCATTCCTCATTTGCATAGTTCTAATCTCTACCATAATCTTAAGCAAGATTAAGAGCACGTTTCATCTTTCCTCTTATCAGCCGTCTCAACACAAAAGAGATGAACACAAGAAAATAAATTTTAAATTCCTTAAGATTATTGGTATTACTGTGTTAAAAATCGAAAAATTAGAGAAGCATAGAAACATTAGTTTAATAAATAAAACAGGAAAAATAATTCCGAGCCCACAAGTTGCTTGTGTGTCCTTAAGGAATTTAATCTCCTCACTGTTGCCCAAGGTTTTGGATTAATTCATCCCAGGATAGAACGGAATAACTATTCTGCAATACTGGCAATCGAAATTACAGAATTTTAGCGAACTCAACAGACGGAGAAAATCACACTTGACACTTATGTTTATTTGAAAATAATGCAAATAGAAAAGAGGGGAGAAATTTTCAAATTTTTTCATATCTTAAAAATGAGGCAAGCCTCTAAATTTATAGACAAAGGAAGGGTGAGATGGAGAGGTGCAATCCAAAAGGTGTCTCTTCCATTTCCCATTCACACCCTTTAAAGAAAAAACGCAACAATCCCCCACATGAATGGGGAATGGACATATGTGAAAAATATGCATGAAAATACTGTGTGATTCGCAGGTAAGGATTAATCGCATCTGGATAAGTAGGTTTTCCTTTGAACTTTCCGTAGTGAACTTATGTCGGATATACTCGGTCAATCGGTAGATTTGATATCTTTGAACCGTCGAGCTTACCTAGACAACCATAAGCCATACAATCAACCCTTAACTGTCTTTGATTCTCATTGTTGTGTTCGTTTCAGCCATGAACACCACCTGGTTCATAAGTGCGTAGAGAACTGGCCTTACAGAATTCTCCTTGAAGCTGCTTACACTTCACACTTACATAGGTGATTCCTAAACGTGTTATCCCGTAGATACACTATTTGATATACCCTGTATCAAACTTAGAAACCATTAAAAAGCCTTAACGCTTTATCCTTGGTACTGAACATTGTCTTATCACGAGAATGGACCGAAAAGAAATTTTATTTGGCAATGTTGAACCGTCATTAGTAACTTTGTTTGAGCTCCTTGAACCTAGATCTTGGGATCTCCAGTCTTCTAGGTAGAGTTACCGCCACAATGACTTGTCCTCGGCCATAGTCACATTCCCCTCGATGATCTTTCAACTACCTCTCTAGTTAGGCCTTTTATAAGCGGATCCGACACATTATCGCTTGACTTTACATAGTCAATTATGATAATTCCCCTAGAGAGTAGTTTCCTAACGGTTTTATGTCTTCGTCGTATATGACAAGATTTTCCGTTATACATAATGCTCCCAGCTCTTCCTATTGCCGCTTGACCGTTGCAGTGTATGCATATAGGTGTCAATATTTTGGGCTAAGATAGAATTTCTTCAAGAAATTCTGGAGCCATCTAGCTTCTTCACCGGCCTTATCTAAGGCTATAAACTCAGCCTTCATTGTAGAGCGGCAATGCACGTTTGTTTGAACGATTTCCACGACACTGCTCCTCCACTGATTGTAAAAATATATCCGCTTATGAATTTAGTTTAGGTTTATGCGGTGATTCAATTTGCATCATATACCCTTCAATACCCGCAGGATAGTTATTATAGTGCAATGCATGGATATATTTTAAATATTCCAAAACTCATTTTATTGTCCTGACAGTTCAATGCGAACTTCCTTATGTCGTAGACTAATACGTCTCGACATTCTATTGCATATCTGATTATTGACTACACTTAATGTAGTAATAATATATTTTAACAACAACAAGAATGACTGGCATCAGTTGTGGCCACAACCTTTTAATATATAACACATTTCGCAATCACTCCGCCATTTTCATTCATTTGTATGTTATTTATTCATACGTATATATGATATGCAAACTATACCACCTTCATTCATGAAACAAATCCAACTTGCAATGGATTTTAGTCATGTTCATTGGTTGGTTCACCTCATTTTGGACCAACGTATTAATACATTCGTTCATGAACGGTCTTGTCCACACAAAAACGTACAGACGTATCTTTCTATGAAAAGTCACAACCTTCGAAGTGACATCATTTCATAAAAGAACTAAACAATATAAATTTTCAAGAAAGAAAATAATCTTTCGAGAAAGGCACGTGACCAACTTCCGAATTAGTAGTTTTATCAACTAGTCTTCACTAAGACTGAACAACTGATGAATTCACCGACTACCATATCAATATCCACTAAAGATTTATTGGGTCCAAAAAATATATCATTTAATTCTTCTAAATAATATATACATCACGTCTAACATTAGCTTTTGATATGCATGAGCTAAATGCCTCCACATTTCACATGTTTCACGTGCCTTTTCAATCAACATATAATCCATATATAAATAAACAATGACAACATAATCTAGAGTATTCTTAATGGAAATACACTAGTTTGAAATCATTTGACAATATTTTCTAGTCAAATTTCACATGCCATTGTTTGAGTGCTTGTTTTAGTCCGTGAAGTGACTTAACAAGTCGATGCACCTTCTTTTCTTTTCCAGGAACCACGAACCCTTTAGGTTGTTCCATATAAATTTCTTCCTCCAAATCTCCATTTAAGAAGGTTGTCTTTACGTCCATCTAATGGATTTCGAGGCCATACACGGCAACTAACGATATTAACACCCGAGTAGATGTAATCCTTGTTACCGGCGAGTATGTATTAAAGAATCAAGACCTTCTCGTTGTCTAAATCCTTTAACAACTAATCTTGCCTTATATTTGTCAATAGTACCATCAGCTTTCATTTCCCTTATGAAAAATCTACTTAGAACGCAAAGGTTTATTTCTTGGAGGAAGATTAACCAACTCCCAAGTATGATTACTTAATATGGGTTCTATATCACTATTGACTACCTCTTTCTAACATTGTGCTTTCGAGCAAGAGTTGCTTCTTTAAATGTTTGAGGCTCACTTTCCAACAAGAATATCAGGAAATCTGATCCAAAGGAAGTAGTTGTCCTTTGACGTTTACTACGTCTTGGATTAACCTCATTAGGTGTACTTTTCATTGCTTCTCCCTGAGGTCGCTTAGATATTTTACTAGACAACTCACATTCCTTTTTATACGGATAAATATTCTCAAATAATTCAGTATTATCTGATTCGATTACCATATTAATATGAATGTCGTAATTTTCTGATTTATGAATCAGAAAATGATATGCCTTACTATTTGTTGCATATCTTATGAAAATGGAATCAATATTTTTCGATCCGATTTTTATCCTTTTGGGTTTAAAAACTTGCATTTTACCCAAATAACCCCCCACACTTGGAAGTATTTCAAGTTGGGTTTTCTTCCTTTCCATTTTTTTCATATGGAATGGATTGTGTCTTGTTATAGGGAACGCGAATGAGTATTCGGTTAGCTGTAAGCATAGCTTCACCCCCACAAGTTTTGGGTAAATCGGAACTTATCAACTAGGCATTCATCGTCTCCTTTGACATTCTATTCTTTCTTTCCACAATTTTATTAGATTGCGGTGACTAAGGGGCGATCATTTGGTGAATAATTTCATATTCCAAAGATATTTCTTCAAAAGGAGATTCATATTCAACGCCCCTATTACATTGTTGAGCCAACCATATGAACTCTTGTTTGTGACACGAGAGAGCCAGAATTAATAAATGGTGAAGTTTTTAATCTTCAAATCAATCTGACACATTCAGAATTAATAAATGGTGAAGTTTTTAATCTTCAAACCAAGTAACATCTTATACAACAAGATTTAATAAACGGTGAAGTTTTTAATCTTCAAACCGAATAATATGTGACACGATCAAATTTAATAAACAGTTAAGTTTTTAATCTTCAAACTGAATAATGAATTGGAGTACAAAATCACTAAGACTTTTAATCTCCAAAACGAGTAGAAAGTCATAGTCTATACTTTACTCCATCAAATGAGTAGAAAGTCACAAAGACTTTAATCTCAATGAACGAATAGAAAATCATGCGGATTTTAATCTCGAAACAGGAGTTGAAAATCACAAAGATTTTAGTCTGTTTGGATTCAAAATGTACTATAGGATGAAAACAAGTTCACCGAACAATCTCGGTCGGGATAAACCACGACGCCATTTGTTAACATCCACAATGGTTGATCACATCCCTTGGCTCATTCTCTGTTTCATTGATTCCAATCTCCATACGTAAATATGATCAAGAATTCCAATCATTTTAACATAAGGCCGCTATCATCATCATTACACTTATTGAGATGGAAGTTATGCCTTAAACTGTAAACATATGATAAAAAGGCATAATTCATTTTGCCTTAGCATATTCATGGAACACAGTGCCTCTCTTAATATTCACTTTCAATTTTCGCTGCAACTCCGCCTCACATTGTTTTCAAACTTAACTACCTTATTTCGTACTCTACAGTGCAACGAATTGACCACAATAACCAATAGTCACACCGTTTTATACTTAGTAGAACAATATACGGCTTCGAATATTGCTCGTTCCTCTATTAACAATCATACAATCATATTTGTTCCAACAAAAAGATTGTCATGATACGGATGAAGCAAGCGAAACAGGCCACTATGAGCACATCTACATTTCTTAATAACGGTTCCGCCGAAATATTATGAATCTTGCCAAGTTAACCAAAAAAACCAGTAAGTGTAAATTAACTTGGAAACAAATGAGAAATGATCAAATAAAAAAAATAAGGAAATAGATTTTCCTTCCCAGACATGGCCACCGTTTCTGATGCACAAAAAATAAAATCTCATTACCATCTTTGCCACCAAACTAATGGTCAGAGACTCTGGCTCTTGAAATAGATTGTAGCGTGTATTTTTTTTCTCATTACTCTTGGCTAAATAATGTTGATCAATTTTTGTTTTCTTTTCAGGAACTCCAATAAGTTTCCAACAGTTTCACCATGTTATCACAACAATGAACACATATATTATAAAATTCAACCTGCACGAGAAAACCCATATAGTAGAATTGACAAAAAGAGAACAGAAAGCAGAATAGAATTAAATTCCTCATTCCTCATTTGCATAGTAGCCAGTCTCTAATCTCTACCATAATCTTAAGCCTAAAAAAAAGAATATTCACCATGCAATATGTATCGATACAATTCGATCTTTATCGTGCGGCAAAACGAAATGATGATATGTAGTGAAAGTGGTTTTGGACTATTGAGTATGGGAGACAAAAGCATGGGTATAAGCAGAATCGTGATTGGGGCCGTCCATTCGAATTCGAAACAAAGACAACTGGAAGAGCATGCACTCAAAGCGGACTAAATGCGTTTGGTGGAATCGTTAATTTCTACTAATTTTCTACTTAACAACTATCCCCTACAATATTGGATAGCACTATGTCCAATCAACACAAAGAACTCAAAATTGGCTTAATTTTTAAAAGGAATTATAAATCATGGAGTTTGCCTTTATACGATTGATTTAGTAAGTTCTCGTTATTTCTATTCAATTAAATTTATGAAAAAATTTGAACGGGCAAAAATTTTTCTAAACTTTGTTATTTTGTTCAATTTCAAAATTTAACTTTAGAAATTTGTTCAAGATAGGTCGGAAACCGTATCTCTCCACTTCTTTACAAGAAAATGAATTATAGGTTTATGTATAACAAACAATATATTAATGGGATAATACCATACAAAATAAGTACCCAAATTAAAGAAAAGAGGGTAAATAATGTGGAGGACAAGATATGAGTAATGAGATTCTTTTGGGCAATTACTATTCCTTGAATATGTAATGGAGAATTACATTATCAAAGCTCAACAAAAACTAACCAACCCTAATCCACATCAGAAAGTAAAGAACAAATCTACAATCATTACCCCACAAAAACCCTAATTTGACAAATCTAACCCCCAAATCCGTAGAGAGTCCTGCCCTGTCTCTTGAGGGCATAAACAACATCCATAGCAGTAACAGTCTTTCTCCTAGCGTGCTCAGTGTAAGTCACAGCATCACGAATCACATTCTCCAAAAATATCTTCAATACACCTCGTGTCTCCTCGTAAATCAAACCAGAAATACGTTTCACTCCTCCTCTACGAGCCAAACGCCGAATTGCAGGCTTTGTGATTCCCTGGATGTTATCACGAAGTACCTTACGGTGTCGTTTAGCTCCTCCTTTGCCCAATCCTTTTCCTCCCTTTCCTCTTCCTGACATTTTGAAACTAGATTTTGGGGATTTTTGAATTTGAAGTGAGGAAAAATGTGGTTGATTTGAATTTTGATGAAAAGGGTGCGAGGAGTTGGGCTTTATATATAGCTGCTGATTATTGTTGTGGGTAGTGGAAGGTTGAATCGTAACCGTTCATGTTTTAGAGTTGAAGGTGATATCGACGGTTACCAGTGTCGGTCCGTGTGGAAGGAGGAGATAGTATGTGAACCGTTGATTAAATGAGATCCAAGGTGGGGGAGTGATTCTTCTGTGATAGTGCGGATTGTGTTTCAATTAATTAAGTGAGAATATAGGAGTTCAAGAAATAAAATTAAAGGGCCGTTTGCCCATACAAAGAGCCCATTTGTCCATGAAATTTTTTTCATATTTTTCCGAAAATTTTTCATTTTTTATCGCAATCAGTGTTTGGCCACAAAATTTCTAACTTTCACTTGAAAATAAATTTCGGAATTTGAAAAATTCCAAAAGGCTGTTTTTTTAAAATTTCACTTCAAATCACTCACAAAAATTCAAAAACAATCCAAAATTGTATTCATGTCCAAACACAACTCTAACTTTCAAATATCATTTTCAATTGAAAAAAATTCATTTTTTTCCGAAATTTTGCAATTCTTGTGTCCAAACGCTAAGACTTTTGTAACGTGGCGCTTTTAATTTTTATTTCACTAAGAGTAAATTGGAAAGTTTAAAGTTAAAAATTTGTCCAAACATAAAAATATATCTTATTTATAAAAATAATGCTACATATAAAAGAACGCGAGAATTTAAATTGTTGCTATCTTCTAATTTTCTCATGTTTGATTGGTTTAAATATTTTGGAAAATATTTTCGTCAAGAACTCATTTTCCTTCAATTAGAGGAAAATGACTTTCCTACCACCAGAAGGAAAAATATTTTTCAATCTTCCCAACCCTATTTTCTACCCCACCCCTACCAACCCATCGCCCACCCCCAAACCTCCCACCCCATACAACCCCTAACCACAGCTACCCCCACCCTTTTCCCCGTCATCCCCCAACCCCCTACCCTCGCCATCGTCTCCCTCGCCTTTACTCATTTCGTCTCCCGTAATATTTTCCTTAATTATATATTTTTCAGAATTTTGTTTTGCTACCTAACCAAACACCAAAAAGTAAGTATGAAAATCACGAAAATATTTTTCAGGCAATATTTTTTTTCATAACACACCCTAAGCCACAAAGTATCATTTCATGTCAATAGTAGCATGTCAGTAACTAAGAAGAAGAGAAACACACAATGATCAAATAGTTTTTCTAACTATTAAATGTGTCACTAAAAAAATCTAAATAACACTGGTACTTGTATCGATTTGACATCTCGTCTCCTAAATTCTACGAGATTTTATTCAAACACTTGAACCTGTAAATAGGTGTTTTAAACGTCTCTGATCCTACGTGCCACTCAATTGCCACTCTATATCAGTTAAAGCTTCATGTTAAATAAACATATGTCACATCGTTATTTCTCTTCATAAAATTAGTTTTTCCAAAAACAATCAAAAAATTTAACCCATTTTCTTTTTTTATAATTACCTTCTTCAACCAAAAACTTTACTTGGTCATAACTCATAGTCACCACTTTGAACCAAAAACTTTACCATATCCACCTTAGCAAAAAAAATATCAAATAAGCTTGATCAACAATTAGAGGCATTAAAAACACATGTTTTAATCAAGTTCAAGTGTCTGAATGAAATTTCATTGAATTAAGGGGTGAAATGTCAAATCGGTACAAGTACAAGCAGAGACGGGTCTAGAATTTGAAGGTTATGGGTGCCATATTAATTTGTACGTAGATGTATTATTAATTATACGATCCAAATGGGATAGATATTTAGTCGGTTGGAACCTTGTGCTTCGCTTCGAGTTATTCATCTTTTCAGCTTATATAGATAAATATATCGAACGAAAAAAAATATGGCAACTTAGTGCACATCATAAAAAATTTCAGCAATATAATCAAAATCATAAAATTTCTTCTACATGAAAAGTACAAAAAGACAACCACTTTTTTCATCTTCTGGAACTTGAAAATATCTTTCAATTAACAAAATACTAGATGTGACGACCCGACCCGTCGTCTCATGAGAACCGCTCCGTTTTTCCCATTTTCTGCTTCGTTATGCTTCATTATCAGTGTCTTGTGTGAACGAGTTGAATTGGGTTGATTTTTGGAAGGAAATGAGACACTTAGTCTCTTTAAGGAAGGCTTGTTTTGGAAAAGTCAACCGGATGTTGACCTATGAGTTAGAGGGCTCGGATATGGATTCCGACGATTCGGTTAGCTTCGGGGGATGATTTGTGACTTAGGAGTGTAATCAAAAGTGATTTTGGAGGTCCGGAGTAGAATTAGGCTTGAATTGGCAAAGTTAGAATTTTGGCGAATTCCGGTCGATAGGTGAGATTTTGATCCGGGGGTCGGAATGGAATTCCGAGAGTTGTAGTAGCTTCATTAGGTGAGTTGGGATGTGTGTGCAAAATTTCAGGTCATTCAGAGGTGTTTTGGTTGGGTTTTTGATCGAATGTGCGTTTCGGAAGTTTTGGAAGAACTTTGGCTTGAATTCGATGAGAAACGATGGTTTTAGTGTTGTTTGAGGTGTTTTGATGATTGGAGCAAGTTTGAATAAGGTATTGGATCATGTTTGTATTTTTGGTTGAGGTCCCGGGGGCCTCGGGGTGATTTCGGATGGCTAACGGGATGAAATTTGGAGTTTAAGGTCTGCTGAGTGGTCTGGTATCTGGTATTTTCGCTTCTGCGGAAATGGACCGCAGAAGCGGTTCGCAGAAGCGTATGAGGAGTTGCAGAAGCGAGGTTGGGCATTTTGGAGATTTCCGCAGGAGCAGACTATTTCCCGCATAACCGGCTTCCGCAGAAGCGGTTAGTGACCGCAAAAGCGGTCCAAGGCAATAAGTGAGATTTCATAGAAGCGGAAAGTGACAGCAGATGCGGTAGTCGCAGAAGAAGTGGGTTTTAATCCCTTCGCGAAGTTTTACAGAAACATATTTTTAACTTCGGACTTGGGGTGTTCTTGAGCGATTTTGAAGAGGAAATTCAAGGACTTCGATCAGGTAAGCATTCTTGGACTTAGAACATAATTTTATCACGCAAATACATGAAAATTACACTGAAAGCTCAAGGAATTAAGGTCAAAAATGGTGGTTTAGGGCTTGAAACCTAAGAGAACAAAAATGGGAATTTGAGGGGTCACTTGGACTCCGATTTTGGTGTTCTTTATATGCATGGACTCGTGGCGAGATAAGGAATCCGGTAATGTAAAATTTATAATTTTTCGAGAAGTGGGCCCGGGGCTCGGGTTTTGCCAACTTCGTGATTTTCGATGTTTTTCGAGTCTTTTCGATTGGGTTATATTCCCTTAGCATATTGTGACGTATTCGTTGTGGTTTTGGTCAGATTCGACGCACGAAGAGGTGAACTCGAAAGGCAAGGGCATAGCAAGCTAGGACTTTGGCCGGCTTGAGGTTAGTAATAAATGTAAATGCTGTGTTGAGGGTTTGAAACCCCGAATTTGCACATTGTAGTGCTATGTTGAGGTGACTTGCACGCCGGATAACTGGCGTGGGTTAGAGCACCGTCGTGGATTGTGACTTGGTCCGTCCCGCTTAATAAAATTACTACCTAATTGATTGTAATTTTGTGATATCCTTATAAAAATGGATTAATTGTCATAATTGGGCTTCGTGCCAACTACTTGAATCCTTCAGGGATTATTTTACTGGTTTCTTACCATATTTGTAGATATTGAACTAAGTCCTGGTATTTAACACTGTTTTGTAAACTCAGCCATTTTTCTAAAAGTAGAAACTAAAGTAATATATTTAAATGAAGTTTGGGCTGAATATTTTTATTTTATTATGCCGAAAGGCTTATGTGATTTTGGACTGAGTATGGGATCGGGCTGCACGCCGCAGTGGTATGATATTGATATTGATATGAGGCCGAGGGCCTGTTTGGTGCCACGAGATGGCTTATTATTGCGCTTGGGCCGTAAGGGGCCCCTCCCGGAGTCTGCACACCCCCGGTGAGCGCCGTCAATGTTAAATAAATGGAGCGGGTTGCACGGCCGCAGCGGGGTACTGGAGAGTACCCGTTTATGTGTTGCATTGCATACTTGATTGTCATTTACTTATTTATCTGCTGTGATGTTCTATAATTGTTTTTCATTGGTTTATTGAGTTGATATTATTTGGATTGGACTGCTGTAATTATAGCTTATCTTGTGCCTGTCCAGGATTTCTTACTCTCAACTCTTATTTATATTTATTACTTTCTGGGTTGGAAGTACTCACAATACTCCCTGCACCTTGTGTGCAGATCCAGGTACACCACAGGGTGAGTGAGGACTTGTTTAGCTGAGCAGCATTTATCCGGGAGTATCGAGGTAGCTGCATGGCGTTCGCAGCCCTGATCTCTCTCATCTATTTTATCCTTTTTAATTCGCATTTTTTTCCTAGACAGACTTGTGATTGGTGAATATTCCTTATTAGAGGCTCATGTTCGTGACACCAGATTCTGTGGGCTGATTAGTATTTTTAGTATTTAATTCTGGGGTTTTCGAATGTTAGAGATTATATCAGAAATTCCGCATTAAATTGGTATTTTAGTAGTGAATATTTATTTATCTATTGAGATTAATTGGCTAAGGTTGTGTAAATGGTCGGGCTTGCCTAGCAATGTGTTGGGCGCCATCACGACCGGGGTTTGGTTCATCACAAGGTGGTATCAGAGCCTAGGTTACTTGGTCTCGCGAGTCATGAGCCGGTTTAGTAGAGTCTCGCGGATCGGTACAGAGACGTCTGTACTTATCCTCGAGAGGCTGCAGAACCTTTAGGAAAACTTCACATTCTTGAATTCTTATCGTGCGTCCTTGATTCGGCTTGAAAAGAAACTCTTGAAATTCCTTCCACGTGTTCGTACGCGCGCATGAGCGCTCAGTATCATATGTGCCTTGATGGCTTGTGATTCCTCGATCGAGGGGTGAGATGTAATCTCTGTGAGTCTATGTTGGGCCAGTCCCGAGGACTTGAGGGCGA